TCGCTTTATCAGAATTCTTAATTTAAAGTGATTAATGTCTTCTTTTCTTCTTCTGACCACATTTTGAACATTTATTATTAAATTCAGTGCAATTTTCATGAAGCCAAAGGTGACAATCATTGCACTGAATCCAGTCTTCGATAAGCGCTCTCTGTTTGTCTGTCTCACCAACACAACAAGTCTACAAGGTATTTTTTGAGATATCAGAGTGGTTTCCAATTTATTTTTGTGTCCTAAACATGATCTCGGGTTACAAAATTGCGTATCACGTCAGGATTTTGAGTAAAGTGGGGGTAATGTCTCCAAAACCCGTGTTTTTGAGGGTTTTCAGTATTATTTTTCTCCTTAACCTGACGTGATAGAGAATTCTATATAGGCTTAAATTAAAGCTTATATCTTACATTTTAAGACTCATATGCGCAAGGAAAAAAAAATTTGAAATTTAAAAAAAAATTAGGTTCAAGTCACCTAAAAAGATTTTTGGGGTATTTACCCTCATTTTTTCAAAATTTCAACTTTCTTTTAATCCTGCGTAAATGAGTCTTAAAGTGTACGATCTAAGCTTTAATTTAAGCATATATAGAAGTGTCTAGCACGTCTGGTTAAGGAATAAAAAAATAATGAAAACCCTCAAAAACACTGTTTTTGGAGACTTTGTCTCCACTTTATTCAAAATCCTGATGTGATTCGCAATTTTGGAACCCAGAATCGGGTTCAGCACACAAAAATACATTGGAAACCACTCCGCTATCCTATATAAGAAATCTCTAAACGATAAACTCTCGATCTATTGGGATCTGACATTCGTACACATGCCATCTGGTGTTGAAAAATGTAACTAGTTTTGGATAACTGTTTGTGTCACTTGCAATTGTAGTTCCGCTGTCATTGTTAATTATTTTATCATTATGAATGAAGCTACATTTTTACCGCGTGAGAAATCTTCCTGCAGAATTAAGTGTTCTGTGAGAGGCTGTGGCAGTACTGTAGCGAAAAATTTAAGCGTAATTTTCCATAAATTTCCGAAACCAAAACCAAAATTACACGATTTACACCACACTTTCTAATGTGCCCGGCTTGCAAAACGCGTTCACCTTCAATAAATTTTTCGTTGAGCAGGATTTGTACCTGCCCATGCGCAAATATTGTCCATAGAAATGAACATTTTCTGCATCCCATGTTATTCCCATGTAAATTCACTAAAAGTGTTACCCAATTTACGCCATATTGCATTAGGCCCCGCCCCCATGTCAGATCCCAATAGTAACGCCTATCCCATTGGTCGATTGTCGCCGTGGCGTCTATTCCATTAGTCGAATTCTTATTTGTCATCTTCGTCTCGCAAGAGCGTAAAACAGACACGATCTGCCCGCGTACAGATTTACAGACACACAGAAATAAAAGTGGTGTGTGCGTCAGTTATCTTTGTCAAGCAACGTTTTCAGTCAGTAAATGAATGAAAGCAATATATACGGTCGAATTTTCTAAAAACTTATTTTTCAAAGAATCTTCAAGGATTATTTCTCAGAATAAAAAAAATGTTACTTTGTAGTATAAATAATTAATGAAAATTTTGAAGTTTGATAAATTTTTTATGTACAAAAATGTTTATTAAATTTTCTGTCATGAAGAACGTGTTGAATAATATTTTTTCTCTCATAATTTATTTTATTTAGAAGGAAGGATAAATATTTTGTTTATAATAATTATTTTAAAATTAAATGTACCGATTGTAATGATTAATTTTAATTATAGAAAATGAAGGTTAACTTTTAATATTACAAGAGAATTCACATAAGTCAAATCTTATGCAACCTTGTCTGATTGGTTATAGAATGTCAACGTTGTCAACAATGTCAATGTTTATTAAATTTTCTGTCATGAAGAACGTGTTGAATAATATTTTTTCTCTCATAATTTTTTTTATTTAGAAGGAAGGATAAATATTTTGTTTGTAATAATTATTTTAAAATTAAATGTACCGATTGTAATTATTAATTTTAATTATAGAAAATGAAGGTTAACTTTTAATATTTCAAGAGAATTCACATAAGTCAAATCTTCTGCAACCTTGCCTGATTGGTTATAGAATGTCAACTAATTAGATAATATTAACCGAATAAAAGGTTCAATATAAATAGAATGTCAGTTAAACGGGGCGCATGAATAAGTTCTAAAATTAATTTTTTAGAATTTCCATTTGTTAGAATAATTTATTTAGATAGATTTTAAATAGATTAGATAGAATTTTCTTTTAACCGTATTTTTATTTGACCGAATTATTATTTCACAGCATTTCTATTCATCCGATTTTCTATATTACAGAATTCTTATATAACCGAACATTCAACTGACAGAACTTATATTTGATCGATTTTTCATTTCTCAGAATTTTCATATGCTCGATTTTTTGTTAAATAGAATAGCCATTTAGACGAATTCTTATTAGACATAATTTTAATATAAAGAATTTACTTTTATCCGAAGTTTCATTTTTCAGAATTATTATTTCACAGAATTTCTATTTCATCGTTTTTTCACATTACAGAATTGTTACTTAACCAAATATTCATTTAACAGAATTTCCATTTGATCGAATTTTTATGTGTCAGAATTTTCATCTTTACGAATGTTCATTAAACAGAATATTCATTTAAATGAATTTTTATTAGGTAGAATTTTAATGGGAAGAATTTACTTTTAGCGGAAGTTTCATTTCTTAGAATTATTATTTAGCAGAATTTTAATTTAATTGATTTTTACATTGCAGAACTTTTATTTAGTCGAAATTTTAATTAACAGAATTTCTATTTGATCGAATTTGCATTTGTCCGAATTTTTATTAACTCGAATTTCTATTAAACAGAATATTTATTTAGACGAATTTTTGTAAGACAGAATTTCCATTTCACCGAATTTTCATTTCGAATTCTTATTTGAACGAATTGTCATTTGAAAGAATTCTTAAAACGTCGAATTTGCATTTGACCTAATTTGCAAATGGTTGAATCGTTTCTGTTGGATGCTTATTCGGCCATTTGCAAATTCGACGTTTTAAGAATTTTTTCATTCGTCTAAATAAACATTCTGTTTAATATTCTTATTTAATATTCTGCTTTCGGAACATTGCAATTGTTTATTAACAATCTACTTATCCAAAATACTTTATATAGGGCACGTTGGATGGGGAATTACCTTAACTTACAATTTGTCAGTTCAGATTTACGATAACTTTATTCGTTTATGAAATATATTATTTTTTATTAACATTAATTGATTAATTAATTAATTAATTAATATCTTGAAGGCAACGGAAAAGGACATTTGCATATTTTATGTGTTGAAAGTTTAAGTTTTAAATTTTTTAAAACAGCACAAAAAAACCTTTGGAAAACATATATGACAAAATTTTTTTCGTCTACTTATATATAATATTTACAATTTTTAGTTAATTAACCCTTTCAGTCCCAGTGGTCGATATATCGACCACCTGTAAAGACATCAATTTGTTAAAAATAATAAAATTTATAGTAAAATTTAAAACAATTGCATATTTTTCATTTTCATGTTTCTACAACTAGTATTTAGTAGTTTTGTAACAAATTAATCTATATTATTTATACTTTTTTGTTATTAACATATTTATATACAGCAACACATTATTTCAAGTTAACCTTTAGCGTAATAAAATTAAGTTACTAACATATAATTAAAATCAGGAGAGTTTTTTATATTTTCGACTATGGAAACGGTTGTCATGAAAACGGTTGCCATGGTAGCGGTTGCTATGGAAACTGTTAACATGGCAACCATACGAGTGTACGACGGACGGACGGACGTCAAAGTGAAACTATTGGCGATAAACGGGGATTCCACACTTCCCTCGAACGACCACGTCGGACCGACTTTTCGTTCCGAGAATAGCATGTCGCTCGCAATGAATGCAGGGGTGCCAACTTTGGTTAAGAGATCTATTTTGTATGATAAAATATTTTATTAAAATATCATACAGGTTTCTTTTGATTAATTTGTTGTACATTATTATTATTTATTATTTAATTTTTAGGCATATATAGTCAAATATGTTATTTATTTTGTAAAATATTATGTGTAATAGTGTATTGAGAACTTAACTGCGAACGGACGTGTATATATCTAATATTCTTTTATCCCGTCATTAAAAGCTTTTGTATAAAATATTCTATTAAATTTAAACTCATATAAGGTAAATGCACTAGTAGTTGGACACTTAAGGATTTTATCTTATTTTTTGCAATTTTTCTTGAAATAAAAAGTAGCTACAGCGTTTTCGAGCACATATTTTATTATGGGACAAGTTCACGATTAAAAATCGTATAAATTCGTTTCAAATCCTTCAATATTTAATAAAAAAATTAGCATTTTAGTGAAAAATCAAGAATGTTTCAGTAGTCGGACACTTTTTCTAATGTTGGACATTAATAAGACAAAATATGAATTTATGAAGTGAAAAAGAAAATATTTTAATTGTTTCAGACTGGAAAATTAAATTAGAGATATTATTACAAGTCAAATGACATAATATTTAAATTTTATAAGTTTTATCATTTATGATTAATCATCAATAAAACTTTGTTCTACTTATGGTTCTAAACGAAAATGTGTTGCATCAGCAGTCGGACACTATGATTTTTAAAATAAAGAATAAAATGTTTATTATTACATTATATTATAAAAGGACACATTTTCATAAAATAGGAACTTTACACATAATTGTTATTACACATAATTGTTATTAAAATCTACAAAATTTTTACTATTTTAGAAATTAACCTGCAAATCTTTATTATTGAATCCGCTAGACCCAGAAAAGTGTAATCTTAAATATAGGAAAAAATTCTTAATTATTATTAACGATATAACTATTTTGATTGCATTGAAATAAACATTAATATTAAAAAAATATGTTTCTTGATTTGTTTATAACAATATAAATGTTTATGCAAAATAGAAATCAAATATTAAGTTTTAATAATCTTTTTATTTAATTCAAAAAGTATAAACAATTGAGAATTGAAGGTTTGAACTAGTTTTCTAATCGAGTGAAATATCGGTTTTTCTGGCATTTAATTTTGCCTCCATTATGTCCATTACTATGTCAAAAACTTCAGCTTGATCTTCTTCCGATAATTTTCGATAAGTGCTAATTAAAATTTTTTCGTAGCCAAATAATTTATCTTTGTTTTCTTTGTTACATAAAAATGTTATTAAATCATTCATTTCTTGGCCTTTTTGGAGAACTTCTTTCTCGTCTCTTTTAATTTCTGCACCTAATTCGAAGGGGCTGTCAGTCAAATTCGAACATGATGGATTTTGTTCGAAATTCATGCTTTCATCTGAAAAAGTTTTTTAACTCCATTTTAACTCCAATTGAGAAGAAATTTTTCAAAAACTTATAAATTAAATTTTTTTCCATTAAGATAAACACATATTTAACATATTAAGCACCTTACAAATCGATTAATCACTATCAAATTAAAAAATATTATAAAAGAATTTTTAATTTTAAAAACATTTATAGTTTTTACTTTTGTATTAGAAAAATTATAGAATCCTTTAAATTCCCCATTTACAACAAACTTTAAGTACATTAAAATACTTTAAATACAAAGGATATTGAAATATATATAATTTATTACAACTTCTTAACATTACAGTTAATTGTAGTGGTTATTTATTATTTATTATTTATTTATTTATTTCGCGAAATAAAAAAGTTTAGATTTATAGGAGATTTAGAATACTCTTCAATTAGATGAATAATTCTTGCAAATTACCTTCATTACAGTCACTGTCTGTGTGTTCAGATATCTGTAAACTTTTTTCATCATCTGAGTCAGCAGGTTCGTCGTCCGAAAAATCAAAATTTTCATCCATTTTGAAATATCAATAAAAATCATTTATTATTATTTTCATAGTACATTTTAATATCATTTCATTGTAATATAAATTGTTTTAAATGAATTTCTAACCTCCTATGGCCAATGTGCTCAATCAGAAAAAGACAGTCTGAATAATAGAACCAGGGTTCTTCATCATTTTCTGCAGCTGCAGATCCACTGGGAGTATATTCTTTTAATTTATTATACTCATTGACAAAAGTTGTTCGTAGACTAGTCCATCTGGCTTTTATTGTGTCTACTGTAAGTGAAAATAATGTGAAGTACAATTGAATTTTAATTATGGCATAAATACAATTAATAAAAATCTCAGGGTTTAACTTTTAGGTCATGTTTAACTTTCAATTCCTTGTATATACTTGAGCTACATTGACATATGATTAAAAACATCGTGAAACTTAAAAAATTTAATTTTTATTTTAAAGCAATGATTAACTATTGATGAATAATTACCACTTTCTTTCTCGCCTGTTTCTTTCTCATAGGTTTCAGCAATTTCCTTCCATGCGCGTTTCCTTTTTAAATTATTTCGGTAATCTTTCAGATGTTTATTATATAGGCAGGGATGGTTTTCGACACCATGAATAATAATTAAATTTCCGTCAACTTCTTCGTCAATTTCAAATTCCATAATTAAATTTGTATTTCTAATGACCGAATAAAGTTTTTTCAGACGCACATCCAATACAGCGCTTTTCCTTCTATCACTTCCGTTGATTGGTTTGTTTTGGTTGTAGTCACGTCCGTTTCATATTGATAAAACGTGATAAAACGGACGTGAATTAAGCAAAAGAGTTCTGGACAAAAAGAATAGACGTTGATTGGTGGACATTGAATATCACTACAATCACTTTTAGATATTAAAACTTTTTGTGTTTACATGTTTACAAAAGCTTTCGAATTGTAGTATAATTTTATCAGTGCTGGTTACACATTACTTCATGTGCAAGTAAAATGTCAGGTAAAATAAATATTGTAAAGGGTAAAACAAAAATGGTAAAGGATACAATGAGAGACAGATTAATTATTAGGTTTGTGAAACCACGCGTGTGTTTATATCAAAGAAAATTAAACGTACAGGAGAGAAGTACAGGCTGGAAAGAGGTACTCGATTGTATGACAATTGTAGGATACTCAAATTTAAAAGGTTTGTTATTATTTTAATGATATTATTATTAAAAAAATGGTTCGTTTAAAAATAATTGTGTAATCTTCATTATTTTTTGTAGTACCGGAGTTGACGAAAATATGGACCTTTTATAGAGACAAATTTGTGAAGGCTCATAAAAAATTATTGGAAGATCCAAATACAAAAACATTCGATTTCTATGATGATCTCCTATTCTTGGAATCTCACATTGCTCATGCTCACGGAAACAGGTAAAGAAATTAGTTTTAAATTTTATTTTATTTCATTTAATTTTCACTTAATTTTTGCTTAACTCAACTTCCACACAACTTCCATTTCACTTTCACTTCATTTTCAATTCACTTTTTACTTCACTTTCACCTCACTTTCACTCCACTTTCACATTACTTTCACTTTCACATCACTTTCACATCACTTTCACTTCATATTCACTTCTACTTCACTTAATTTTCAATTCACTTCTAATTAACTTTCACTTTCATCTAACTTTCACTTCAAATTCATAATCACGTCACTTTCACTTTACTTTCACTTCATATTCACTTCAATTTCACTTCAATGTTACTTCACTTTTACTTCACTTTCACCTATATTTCAATTCACATTCACTTTAAATTTTTTCTTTTAGTGGCGAGGTAAATGACGTTGATGAGCCTCCTGTTCCTCAGCCGCAGAATCCTAATCATGCGATAGTCGAAAATTTAGCTACTGCAAATGCTGCAGGAACAGAAGACGATTCAGTAAGGGGCCTTGTCAGTGATGTTGTCACACAAGACAATTCAGTACGGAGTCTTGTCAGTGAGGTTGTGACACAAGAGAATTCAGTAGACAGTCTTGTCAGTGAGGTTGTCACACAAGGCAATTCAGTAGAGGATCTTGTAATTGATATTGTCACTGAAGACAATTCAGTACGGAGTCTTGTCAGTGAGGTTGTGACACAAGAGAACTCAGTAGACAGTCTTGTCAGTGAGGTTGTCACACTAGACAATTCAGTAGGGGGTCTTGTGAGTGATGTTGTCACACAAGACAATCATTTAGAGAATCCTGTAACGGATGGAAATGCACCAGTACAAAATTCTGGAGAAGAAAATTTTGAATCAGGAAACAGAGCACAAAAAAATTTTCCCGAAAAATTTTCTATCGGAAAACATCCTGCTGATAGAGATCCTTCAAATGAGCCTCGGGCAAAAAGAAATGTGGTGTTGACACAACAAAGAGACATTAATATAAGAAAACCACAAATTCGAAGTATCACAACACTAACTCAAAAAATAGATCTGCCAAAAAAAAGAACAACAGCGTAAAAAGGAACTGGCACATAATAAAAAGGATGGATCCACAGAATCAAATTTGTCAAAATTTCCTGTTAGACCCAGCACTTCTGTGGAGAGCCAAGCTTTTCGAGATCTTGTAACACAGAAAAAAACAAGTAAATATCAAATTTTTACAAATTATCAATTTTTACAAATTTAAATTGAACTGTTTGTGAAAAATTAGAATTTTATAAAAAACATTGCATTCATAAATAATTCATATTTAAGAGGCATATAATCAATCTTTTAAATAATATTCAAATTTTTACAAAGAAAAGTTTATAATTAAAATTGTATAGTTAAAAACATTTAAATTTTAATTTTATTTTCAAATAAAAAATGTAGGAGATTTTAAGAAACTTTGACATATTGAATTAATTAAATAACCAGAGAATGCCATAGATTATTATTTTACCCACTATTTTTTCTAATGTAAAAAAATAAATTCTCAAAAGTTGAAAAATTTCTGCCTAACATTTGGCCATTTTGACGTTATTTAGCTGTTAGTTCAAATAACTCATCTTTTCCAAAAAAATATTTATGCTAAACAAAATATTCTTTTTAGAGAAACATCCACCCGAGGACGATTATACCAAAAAATACAAACAAAAAGCGGAATCACAAGATAAATCGTTCGACAAGATTGTTGATATATTCCAAGGAATGGGAAAATCGCTAACAACATATTATGATAAACAGACAGCAGATGAACCAAACAATAATGCAACAGCCAGCACATGTCAGTGTTCTAATGGAATTGAAACAATGGAACTCGATGGGTATGAAGAAATGACAATTGCAATGTTTAGAAAGATTCCAGAAGAAAAGAAAAGAGAAGCGTTTAAAGTTATTCGAGAAACATTAAAACCTTTTTTTCAATAATATAGTAAATAAGGCAGTAAAAATTACTTATCATTTAAATATTTAGTTATTTCTGTTCTCCATTTTCACGTATTATTTCTGTACAAAAAAATGTGTAAGTAACATTATAATAATAAGAATAAAAGTTTTTTATTCTTGAAAACTTTCTGTTTGTTTTAAAAAGTAACAGGCTAATTTTTCCCTTACTTTTTTACCTAATGCAGAATTCGGTTTCTTTGAATTATAAGCATCATTCCTTCTCATCCTGTCTTCTTCTTCATTCCTGCCACATTGTACACCATTGTTGTCATTATCATCATCAAAGTCACTATCCGTGTCGTCATCATCATCATCATTCGGCTCATCTTCATCTTCTTCTAGTGTAAATCTACCGTTTTTGTGCAATTCATTTAACACCTTTTCATTCAAATAACGCCTATCTTCTGTTGGTTTGCTCTTTTCTGCTTCGATTAAAAAATTATGAAGACAGGTTAAGGCCTTCACAATGTTGATGGAAGTCTTTAGCTTCAAAAAGAATGGTTTATGGAGCACTTGAAATTTCGAAGTCATAATGCCAAATGTGTCCTCAATCGTCATTGTGGCTCTGGAAAGACTGTAAAAAATATATTTTGAAACCTGTTTATTTAGTAAACCATTGCTTAAAACATTTAAGTCGAACTTGTAATAATCTTACCGGTAATTAAAAATTTCTTGCTTTCGCTGAGTCACAGAATTCCGTTGGTAAGGACGCATCATGTAGGGTTTAATTCCAAATCCTTCGTCGCCAATGAAAAAATGTGGAATTTTTTCGACTGTTCCTGGCAAATGTGTTGCAGGTGGCAAATTATATGCTCTTGAATTTAAATGTCGTGCTAACGATGTAGCCTGAAAAACGCTGGCATCACATAGAGATCCTGAAAAACGAAGTACTCTAAAAAATTGACACTAAAATACTGTATCTGAAGAAATAATGTAAATAATATATAAACGATTAGACCTCAGATTTCAGTTCCCATTTTAAATTTGGGCAAACATTTGTTTTTAGTTTCTCAGAGAAAGAAAATTATAAATACATTTTTAAAGATTTTTTGGTGGACAAATTTTCGAGTTATGAATTTTCAAAATTTTTATTTTTTGAAAGCAGATCTATTTTCAATTACCTATAAAATTAAAATTATTGACCTTAAAACCTTGAAAACCTTGAATTGGCCTTAATTTTTTTCTTAAACCTTGAAAGTTACAAATTTTATTTCTAAATAAATATAAACTTGGCTACAATTCGCAATCTGTAGCTCAACAAACCTTTTATTCTTTGTAACATTTCCATTTTTCTATTCAAAGTACAATTTTTAAACCTTTAAAATTTCTTAAAAACTCGTAATTGGCGTTGAATTTTCTGACTTTTCCTTTTCAAAAAATGCACTTCTGACATTCTTCCAATTTTTACACATCAAATTGAGATCTAAATCAAAATAGTGAGGAGTGTGCCTACGATATCTACAGTAATACTTTCAATGTCAGGAAGAAGCTTGTTAAAAGCAGTACACATTTTATATATTTTGAACACTTCGAATATTACACAAGGGATATTCTCACCATAATCCCCAACTGCTATCCAACTGAAGCGATATTCAGCATCACAAATCGCCAATAAAACAAAACTATGGAATTTTTTGTAGTTAAAGAAGGAACTTTCAGCATGAGGGGGCATGAAAATTCTTATGTGCTTCCCATCTATGGCACCAACACAATTTGGAAAGTCCCATTTCTCCTCAAACATTTTTGCATCCTGGATCCAATCTTCGACTTTTTTCATTTTCATATATTTCCGCGAAAGAACTTGCCAAATGTGCAACGAAACCTCTTCTATAATTTTATAGGCAGTTGATCTCCCGACATAAAAGAATTTTGACAGCGTTTCAATGCTGTCTCCATGAGCAAAATACCTGAAGGACAAAAGATACGCGTTAAACTAATGCTAAAATTTTCATTTTTCCTTTTAATAAAAATGTCATAATTCAAGTGGTACTTAATACAATCATTAGGACGAATAAAAAATTAATTTACACATTTATATTATGCATTTGAGTTAGTTACTTAAAAAAATTCACAGAAATTTATATAAAATATATCTGAACATTTCTCCTTATAAAGTATATTTTTAATATTATAATGTTCACATGTAAATAATTACTGGATTTAAATTTTAATCAATGTTAAAGGACAATGCCTACGTTATATTACTGCCTGAGTAATATTAGTAAATATTATTTATTAAATATAAATACATATACAATATAGTATCTATTACTCAAGTGAGAACTGAAAAGGAAAAATAGATAAATAAATAGATAAATAAAATAATAAATAATAAATAAAAAAATTAATAGTTCTCTTTGTTCTTCAATAGATTTTATAAACTATAATAACTCTGTTTAGTGATTTCGTCTAAACTAACCTTATTAAATTTATTAAACATTATTTGACAATTTTCAATTTCACGTTTATTATTTTCAGTTAAATTATTTTTAACCAAATTAAAATAACTAAAATTGTTTATTTAATCGAATATCTCGGAATATTCGATTGTAAGACTTTTTCGACATATTTCTAATAAAATGTGACTTATTTTGCGTTTTATGATGAAAATAAATAACTATCCTCGATTTCTATCCAAATGTTTCTACATATGATAAAATGTGACTTAAAGGAACATTTTTATAATTCAAGACTCGAAATAAATGAAATTTGAAATGGTAAAATTTCAACTTTTTAACATCTCAAATTCTTAATAAAACTATGTTTTAAAGGATTGAAGAATAATATATAATAATAATAATATAATATACTAGCTGTGGAACCCGTCTTCGACGGGTTTTTGAAAGCCTATATATATATTAATTAAAACTTTTGTCTTTACATTGCTTAAAATTATTTATACTTTAAAATAAATTTATTTATTAATATGTTCGTTACGAAGTAGGATAAATAAGAAATAATTTATATTGTCCCATTTTCAAAAGTTTTTAATTCGTAATTTTATAATTTTCATGACAAAATTGTATTCGAATATCCAAAAGAATTCCCCACACTGAAAGAAATTCGGGTGAACAGCAGTACCAAGGAGTATGCCTGCTCTATCAAATAGAAGAACGCTAACGACCCTTTTTTCGATCGGCTGACATACCGTTCCGGGAGCTCAGACTACCCATAGCGGTAGAACTGAAGTCCCTACACGTTGGTACGTCAGCGAACTTTAGGGCCGGTACGGGGGAAACACGAAGTTACAGATTTGTTCGCATCGCGCCGCGTCCATGCGTCATTTCAAAGAAATGTATAAATACTTTATTGTGTGTCCTGCGTATATTTAAAGATAAATAAAACTTGTGTTTAAAAAAAATAGAAAAGACTTGTGTTTTGTTTAATTGCAGTAAGTATAATTTAAATATTGTTATGAAACGCACGTTAGTTTATGTCTTGAAAAATACAAATCTTTTACATAACCTAAAAATGTCAACATATTTTATTTAAATTTTTTTTATTCAGCTTCTTAAAAACAATCTAATTTTAAAATGGATGAATCAGAAATTGAGTTTTCCGAATTACCCGAAAAAATCACTGAAACGAATAATATAGAAATATTATTTCCTCTAGTAAATACCGAGAACTTTATTGATGAAAGAAATTCGACAAACTTGTCAATTTCGGTTGAAAATGTCATTAGTTGCAATGAAACAAGTAAATATTTGAAAAATATAAATATTTTTAATTCTATTTTGTTATTATGTCGCTAAATAATAAAATCCGACATAAATTTATTCTAATTTTTATATTTTTTTTGTAGCATTCACATACGTTGAAAATGAGTTATATCATTTTTTAAATGATAGGAACAACTTTTTTGGAAATGTTATTTTAGCTGAATACTTTAAATCTAAGGAGCTCGACCACAGTAAATTGAAAGAATTAATTATTATCGAGGAATTAAAACGTGATCCGATTCATTACAAGTAAATTTCGTAATTTTTCAATAAGTATTTATTTAATAATCTTTCAACTTCATATAATATTTATTTATAGAATAACGTCAAGTAGATTTATGGAAATCAGTGAACTAATAATTCAACTTTTTCCAACGGAGGACAAGGAAATTTTTTTTGTTCCCCATTGTTCGGACGGTAAAGACAGTAGGACTGCGCACGGATGTTTATATAATTATTATAAATCTATTAGAATTCGATTACGTTCATCTGGTTTGTTGAAAGCTAGTGAGTCAAAGGAGGAAAATAATAATGAGAGCAACCAAGGTTCAAATTTTAAGATGTTTTAATTGTTTCTATTTTTGTGATCTAATTAATTAAAAAAAAGTACAGTTAACTATTTCGAATTTTTTATACAGGTGGAGAATGTAATTTGTCTTGTTTAATGGACGAAAACAGGGAAGAGTATCAATTAGTTGACGTTCTTAAAGAGTGGCAAAGAACTTTTTCTGAGCGATCGAAGTTATTACTCACAAATAAGAAAAAAAAATTCATAGAAACATATTTTAAAAGTTTTAACTGTTTAAAAAGTCCTATTGGAATAATTCTGGTACAGTTTTATATTATTTACTGAATATTTCTATTTTGTATGTTTTTGAATAAGTTCACTTAAATTGTAAATATAATTTTTCCTTTAATATAGTTTGAATCACACTTTTCGAATGTTATGGAGGAACTTCATAATAAAGAACAAATTTCAAATAACGCTCCCGTTAATTATAAAACAAAACTGTCAAGTTCTTGGATTGCTGATTCAAAAATCGTTATTCAGTTCTGTAAAAAATCAAAAATAAGGGAGGTTAAGCAGTTTTATGCAAAATATCAAAATTTATTGACGGAAGGTACTGATTTAAATACATAATAAATTTTTCTACGAGATATATTTTTCACATTTTTATGGTTATGTAGAAGAATATTTAAAGATTTGCTTTTATGATTTTTTAAATGAAACAGTAAATTTTATAAATTTGTGAATTTTTATTAAAATTAAGTACAATTTGATTTTTTTAGATACTCATAATAGTCTTCTGGCATTATTATTGCATCCTCTTTATTTCACCGTACCGAAGAGTGTTAAAACCGATGGTAAACGTAGTGTAACTTTTTCAAAGGAGGAAATTTTGAGATCTTTCATTCTCCACGTTGAGGTAAGAAATCATATAAATTTCTAGTTCTAAATTATAGAAGATCTGATAAATAAAATATTTCGTTTATCATTTTTGAAATTCAAATTCAACTGATTGTTTGCGAAAAACATTTAAAAAATTTCTTGATTTTATAATTTAAAACTTTGAAAAAAATTTAAATTTTGTAAAATTTAATTTAATTAATATTTCTTAATTAGGATCCATCGAATTTGGAAGCAGACAAAGAAAGTCGAGAGGAGTGGCTGAAAATCAATTCGCAGGAGATTTTTCCTTACACTATATTGTGTGGAAAAATAGAAAATATATCACAATCCATTGTAGTTCTGAATGGAGAGAGTTATCTGTTTTCTAGTCCCATAAAAGCAATTGAAGCATGTTTTAAATGCTTGATAGCACTCCGAACATTTCCGTATTTGACAGATCACTTATGGTTCTTCATCGCCAAATTTGTCTACAGAATTGACTCTTTTAAATCTTATGCAGCAGTTCTTAAGTTGATCGTAGAGTTAAATAAGATAAAAGATGCAAATAATCCTGCATCAAGTGAAATAGAAGTTCCAATGGAAGTTGATCTTCTTTAAAAAAAATCGCAATTTATTATAGATATTGGAGTAGAAGATTTTAATATACTTTTATATTGCAAAGCATAATAGTTCTGCTGACATTTTTAAATATTTATGTCTTAAATTTATGTTTTAAAAATTAGTGTTTATATATTTTTTATTACAATTGTATTTAAAAAAATTTTATAAATAAATTGTTAACGCTTGAAAATTTATAAAAATGGAAATAAAGGCGATGGTAGATCATATACTTATATTTCTTTTGTCATTATATGGTGATCCCAATTATCCCCGCAAAATAGTTCAGGAAGTTGTTGATTTTATTAGCAAGTTTATCTCTGTAGTTTTCTTGCCATCTTTAAAGAAGGACGTTCTACAAACTTTGAAAAATCATGATATTCCTGTTTCCATACAAAATGAAATTGAAAAATGTTTTAAGGAACATGATAATATTTTTGACAAAGTGCAGACAGAACATTTAAGATTTGAACTACTTAGACCAAAAGGTTTCATTGATTACGAGTTATTTTCCATTGGTTCTGCTTTTACTTTCAAACTTGTTAACAACGAGATGAAATTAGTTCCTGAGATTCTACATGCATTGCATGTTCCTCTAAGAAAGAGTTTTAAATATTTTTTAGAAATTCCGGGATTATTTCGTCAAATATTACAACATATGGAAAGTTTACGCAAACAGACAACAATTATGACAAATATAATTCAGGGAAATCTGTGGAAAAAAAAATATTCACAAAAAGAAGCAGGAACAATAATTTTGCCCTTCAACATTTTCTATGACGATTTAGAAGTCGGTAACGCTTTAGGGAGTCATGCTGGCAAAAATAAATTCGGCATAGTATATGCTCAAATAGCATGTTTGCCAAGTCATATTGCTTCTCGCCTTGTTAGTATCATTTTTTCAACTATTTTATTTGTGAAAGACAAAAAAAAGGTCACTAATAAAGAATGTTTCAGAAAACTAATTGACGAGATTAATTATTTACAAACGGAAGGTATTCGTATTGTTGTGAACGGTGTTCAGTGGCATGTTAAGTTTCATTTGGCTCTGATTATAGGGGATAATTTGGGACTAAATGGGATTCTTGGTTTTACGGAATCGTTTAATGGGACAAATTGGTGTCGAGTTTGTGAAGCACCTTCAAATGTTACTGAATCATTGACGGAAGAACAAGAA